CATGCACATGGGTGTTTCTGCAAGTATGTTGTGTTTATAACGTGATTGACGTTTACTTTCTGCATCTGAAGCTTCTGCTTTTGGATATTTGAACTGATTTCATGCATCCTGGCATGTACAGATCTCTAGCCTGCCCCTGACTGACTCTTCATGTGTGAGCACCTTACAGCTCTGCATGCCCAGCGTGCAAGGGCAGCACCCTGTCAAATGTGGTGTCATGGGAGAGGGGTTACAATGGAAGTTCCCCCGTGCCCTGTGCAGGCAATCCTGTCTCTTGCTCATGTGTGAAGCCATCCTGCATGACCATAACTGCATGCTGCCCATTAGCTGATCACTGCCTTCAGCTGTGGGCCCAGGGTGGGCAGGATCTGTACTTTTTTTTATGTTTGCTTGCACTAAAAGCAGGGGAAAAGGGGAATTTCATCATACTGCCTAACCAGTGGTGTGATGGGTAGCCAGGGCTGCTTTGGCAGGGCTAGATCCCACCCCTTCACAAGTGCACACCCGTGTGTGTGCATACATGATCTTGGATGAACATTTTGTAGGAAGGTCCTGTGGAAGATGATGTATGCATTTAACTGGTCTGATTTATTCTGTTGAGCTTTATTTGAGCAGTATATCTCCTCCTCTCTTCCCTCATGTTCTCCCAAATGCTAGGAAGGTCCTGCATTTTTCTTTGCTATGTATGTTTGACAAATGTGTTTCAGATGACTTTGACAGGCTTTGAAAAGAAGGATTGAGCTTCTGTGACTATTCTATTTTCATTTTTTTTCTTGTAGATAAAAGTATTAAAAGATACTTACTGTTGGTTGCCTGGGTAGTAGAGCTTATGCAGAGAAGGGGATTTAGCTTTCAGTATCTCAGCCATGTATCTTGGTTTAATTATTCAGTTAGCTCCTTCATGAAATAGCACATGGTTGCATAAAAAAATAAAGTGAAGTCTTCTATCTGGCCATCTTGAATCTTAAATAAAGATGGTATTGTTTTGAATGTGTTAAAAAGAACAGAATTTTCTTTTCTTATTAGCAGAGATTATGTAAACCTTAAATCAGATCATTCAGAAATAGAGACCTGAAATCAGGCAGACTTTCAGACCCAAATTTCTTAGATAAATGGAAGATACATGGCAATTATCTAATATATTTTTATGAATTCCTGTGTTTCCCTGTCTTTTAAAAGTATACAAGGAAATGTAATACATTCGATTTGTGTGTGCAGGTTTGCTTGCACAAAAATGAGGCAAATACTGTGGTCTGTAGTTTGCTGTTAGAATTTAGGGCTAATACAAGAAATCCAGGTTCCCTTTTGTTTTAGTGGGTCCAAGCTTGAGAATGAGCCTCAGGGTCTGTCAGCAGATTTTAAGGTGTTTGTCCCTGTGTGTTTGAAAAAGCTATCATAGGTATCAGTGACAGCTGGGTTTTGAAATGTTTGCAGCCAGCCCAAAGTGCATGGGGAGGGAGTTGTCATGAACATTTACAGACCATACTTGCCATACTTGCTTCTTGAGTCTTCTAATAATGAACCTTTGTGTTTGAGTTGAGGAAGCTACAGGACTTCCTCGTGGTCCACAAAAAGTGATCCAATCATTAAAGTCAAGGATCTGAGCAACGTTTTTTATGATAGTAAGTTTGATTAATCAATCAAATTGAGGTTACATCTTTTCTTTGTGACAGCCAGAGGTGTCCAAACTTACGTGATTTTCACACCCCAGAGGCTTCCATGGGTATCTTTCCTTTTTTACAGGTTTAATTTCCTGTTAGAAAACACAAGGCTGTACATTTTGAAGGTAGGATTTTCCAATTATAAAGTTCAGTGATCTCTTCTGCATTACTAGTTTAATGTGCAGTACATTCCTCAGCAAGGTAACTGAATGCAGCATTTTATGTTTACAAAATCATAGAATCATTCAGGTTGGAAAAGATGCGATCATCGAGTCCAACCATCAGCCCTACTCTACAAAGTTCCCCCCTACACCATATCCCCCAGCATCTCATCTAAATGACCCTTAAGCACATCCAGGGATGGTGACTCCACCACCTCCCTGGGCAGCCTATTCCACTGTCTGTCCTATTCCGCTCTCTGAAAATTTTTTTCCTAATGTCCAGTCTGAACCTCCCCTATTGGAGTTTAAAGCTGTTCCCCCTTGTTCTGTCACTGATTACTTGTGAGAAGAGACCAGCACCAACCTCTCTACAATGTCCTTTCAGGTAGCTGTAGAGAGTGATGAGGTCTCCCCTCAGCCTTCTCTGCCTCAAACTGAACAGTCCCAGCTCCTTCAATTGCTTCTCACAGGATTTATTCTCCAGGCCCTTCACCAGCTTTGTTGCCCTCCTCTGCACTCGCTCCAGCACCTCGATATTTCTCGTATTGAGGTGCCCAAAACTGGACACAATACTCCAGGTGTGGCCTCACCAGTGCAGAGTACAGGGGGACTATCACTTCCCTATTTCTGCTGGTCACACTGTTCCTAATACAAGCCAGGATGCCGTTAGCTTTCTTGGCCACCTGGGCACACTACCAGCTCATGTTCAGCTGCTTGTCAGTTAGAACCCCCAGATCCTTCTCTTCCAGACAGCTCCCTAGCCACACCTCCCCAAGCCTGTAGCCATGCATGGGGTGGTTGTGGCCCAAGTGCAGGACCTGGCAGTTGGCCTTGTTGAAGTTCATCCCGTTAACATTGGCCCACCGATCCAATCTATCCAAGTCTCTCTGTAGAGCCTCTCTGTCCTCATGCAGATCGACATTCCCACTTAACTTGGTGTCATCTGCAAACTTACTGATGATGCACTCCTTATCAAGATCATCAGTGAAGATGTTGAACAGAAATGGTCCCAACACTGAGCCCTGAGGAACCCCACTTGTGATCGGCTGTCAGCTGGATTTAGCTCCATCAACCACCACTCTCTGGGACCATCCATCCATCCAGTGCTTGACCCAGCAAACTGTTTGCTCATCCAGGCCATGGGCAGCCAGTTTTTCTATGAGAATCCTATGGGGAACTGTGTTGAATGCTTTTCAAAAATCCAGGTAGATAATATCTACAGCTTTACCCTGTCATTTTGTCATAGAAGGAGATCAGGTTTGTCATGCAGATATAGTCATGTACAATCAGATAAGTTTGTAATAGGAAGAGATTTGTGTTTGTAGATGCTGTATCTGCTCCAGGTATAAACTTAAACACTAGAAGTCCATGAACGCAAAGCTGCCCCAGCCCTATGCAGTTATTCTGGACACGTTCCCAGAATTCTGCACGTGTGGAGAACATTACACGTACATACATCATGATTATATAAAAACTGATTGCAAGTTTCTGACAGCTTATCTGCATAAAGAGCAAACTGCTGGATTGTCAAGCCATTGACCTCAGCTGCAACCCTTACAGTGCTGTGTGTGCATGTGTAACATGGGGTCTTTCTGATATACTACAGTGGTCAAAATTCCGTATCTGGGCTTTTGATAGTGTTTCTTAGTATATGCTACAGAACCTTTCCATAAGAACGTGGAGACTGCTGGCTGCTTTGGCTGTGAAGCCCTGATTCAAAACTGGATGTTAATCATGCCTGCCCCATGTCTTCCTCCCCCCCCCCTTTTTTTTCCCCCCATTAAAGCTTGGCATTTTCTTTAACTCTTAAGTTTTTAATTGGGACAAGGATCATACTATCTAGGTGGCTAAGACTTGAACTTTTCCTCACTTGGAATGTGTTTTTTTCATACTGCTAAAAAAAGCAACAGTGCACTTAACATTCTTAGGTATAACAAAACTTTATTGTTGACAAAAGGTTCGTTCTTTTATCCTCCTCAGGATTTTTAGAGTGTTTTGCCAAAGTGGGCTTTTATTTGACTTGCTGAGTGTTGGAAGAATCTCTAATGCTCTTCACAGGGTTGACTCTGTGGATGTCACGAATCTGCCAGGCCTCAGTGTCTTTAGTTCATGCTGTGTGGTTCAGTGCCACTGACATGTACTTTAAAACTTGGTGTTTTCAGACTGGAATACCTGCTTATGTTGATTTTCTTTCAGGGTTATAGAAGTGGATGCTACACACATGCGCATTGATGTACACACAAATGAAGAGTATAATTGAGAACTGATATTTATAATAATGCTTTATAAAAATTAAGTATAAATGTAGGAATAAGAAATAAATGACATGAGAACATATTTTCATGAGAATATACTGACATGAGTGATGTGCAAATATGGAGTTTTCTGTACTTAATCTTAGCTACTTTGTTGGATCTTTTATTACTGTTTACTTAGTAAGATTTAAGTTTTGGTCTTCCCTTTTGGCTGTTAAAACTGCAATTGTCATCCCACTGTAGCTTGTGTTTCCAGGATGGAACGGAGTTATTGTGTGTACCTCGGGTAGTAGCAGAAGGTGGGATGTGAGGGGTGTTCTGGAAAGCTGCCACCAGGGTTCTGCAGTGTTATTGGGACATCGCCCACTGCTGCTGCCCAGCATCTTTGTCCTGCATTTGAAGCTGATTTGGTAAAATAAATCAAAGCAAGCCACTGAAACGTAGGGACTGCAGAGAACAAAAAAATGTGCTTCTGAGGGTGAATGTATCTTCCGTTGACACAATTTGGCTTCCTTTTTGTAGCATGAAAGTCCAATAAATTTTATTTCTCAAGGCTGTGTTTTAAGACCACATTCCAGCTTGTGTTTCTGCTCAAGAAAGTTTTTAGTAAGGAAGCATCCTGACAGAGATTTTGGACTTCTTCCAGTAACTGAAGAGCTTGTTGTGCCTAACTGGGATTTATTGTAACTGAACAGGAAAAATCCTGAAATATAGGACTATGTAGCTGTATAAAAGCATTGTCTTTTTTGTTGTCTTACAGTCATTTGACCTTGAATTACAGCTACGTCTTTGACTGGAGTGTCTGCAAGACATAATATAGTATGAACTAGTTGTTTTAAAGCACCTATTATAGTTTTTTTTTTATCAGTGCATTACATAAAGTTACTAGAGTGTTCACATCCTGTTCTTCTTTTCTTTTTCAGGCTTGAGTCACAGAGCAGCATAAAGATTTACACATCTGAAGTAGGAGGGTGAATGGGATTGAAGTATTTACAGGGAGGATTCTGAACTCCCCTCCTTCCTGCTCCAGGAAACACAGGTTAGTGAATTATGGAATAATTTGTAATTAACTCAGTCCTTACTTCAGAAGGTCTTTAGTCAAAACAGGAAGATACAGTTCAGATGGCTGTATGTAAGAATGGAAGAAATGTCAGATACTACAGATACATCTCTTAATTACAAACATTAGCCTTTAGAGTTTTCTGTTCCTGTTCAGCAACAAGAGGGTTTCCATAAGAAGTGGTTTGAGTTTACTTTAAATCCCCCCGATGTAGAATGTTTTATGTTTGGAAGCTTTTCATCCAACATCAATGAAATCTGAACTGAAAAAATTAATTTAGTTGTTCTTGAAGAAGTTCTGAGTAAGTCTTCCACCAGAGAAGACTTCAAGGTGGAGCTTTATTAGACCCTTACATGTATTTGTTAGTGAAACAGACAGGTCAGCTTCAGCACCAGATATGTCCATACCACATCTGGGCTGCTTGCAAAGCCTGTTAGGGTGGAGGTGATATGTGAGTGAGTTCCAGCAGCTGCAAACCCACATTGAGTATCTTCCTGCCTCCTTCCCTTGCTACTTCCCTGCCCTTAGAGGAAAAGAGAGAAACTAGGGCCAAATCCAATAGGGGGTATATGGGAGTTTGCTTCAGGTTGTCTTGCTTTGTCTCTGGCTGTAGATACATGTGGCCATCATTAGAAAAGGGCACATGGTCCTTTTGTGGAAATTAACTCCTGACATTCTATTTATTCTGACTTTGAGAGTACCTAATATATGCTATCTTCAGGTACTGACCAGTGAATAAGATTTATGCTTCTTAGTATGATCTGTTCAAAGTAGATCTATTTCCTGTTGGAAAAGCACAAGGTGTTGGAGTCCTGACGTTTGGCAGGGGGTTCTCACTTCTGCATCTATGCAGGCCCATCAGGAGCATGCACGTGGTCCTGTGTAGTTACCAACGCTAAGCAGTGCATAACGGGACGAGTTTTTCCTTGCAAGTATTGCTGAAGAGGCAGTTCTTGCACCAAGCTGTGACACCAGAAATAGGTAAGAACTAGTGAAAATGAGGTCTAACACTGGCAGAGTAGGGACAGTATCTTTCTATTAATTCAAACCTTATTGTAGCTTAGATTAATTTTGTCTAAGCCATGTGCAGGACTGAAAATGGAGGCTGTGACATCCAGGACAGCTTGAGATGACGTCTTGAGTCTTTTCCTTATGTGCATGTGGGCAAGCAATGCTAAAAAAGAAGTGTATCTGGACAGGACTCTGTCATCTTCAGAGGGCAGAACTGAGATATCATGCTGCCTACAACCCTGCAGCCCAAGGGAAGATGTCTTGGGTGGTGTAGGAAACAAAACCCAGTGATGTTATTGCGTTGAAGATGTCAGGGAGGAAGTCTGAGGCCTTGCCTGAAGCAGAAATTGGCAACAGGTGCTAGTGTGTGCTGAAGAGGAAGGAGAGGTACACGGTGAGGTGAAGCAGGCTGCTGTGACATACAGGGAATGTCCTGGCACTTGGTGGTGGAGAAGGATAGTCAGCAGACAGAGTAAAAGTGGGTGTCGGTGTGTCAAAGCATCTGGAGCTCAGTGGGTGAAGGACAGAAACAAATGGGAGTAGTAACTTGTGTGACTTCTCCAGAGCAAAGAGCAGGATGAAAGGATGCAGTAGAGTGAAGTGGGTGGGAATATTTCTGTTGAACCATGTACACCAGCCATTTTTTTCTCCTTCAGAGATGTTACTTGGTGGGCTGTACTTGAGAACAAGTATGAAAGAGGTCTCCCCTGAAGTTGGTGAGAGAGAAAAGGTGAGGACACAGTCAGGGAACCGGAAATAAGACATTTCTGAATAAGAGGAAAGTAGAAAGGGGGTGAGAAATAATTAGGCAATAATAAGAAAATAAGTGTTTTGAGGGGGAGTTTTGGAAGGTGATGGGGAGCAGGGATCTGCATCAGGAAAGATGCAATTCAATTTCCAGGTTTCTTATTTTTGTTCACCAGTATAATGTGAATGGCAGCTCTTATTGGAGTGAGGAAAAATCAACTTTCCTCAGCAAGGAAATGAAAAACCTCACTAGATTTGCTTGCATGCACAAAGAATGCTTTAATGTGAGTGTGGGAAAGCAATACAAACATTCTGATAGTACTTTCTGTATTTTCTATTTTTCCAAGAGCTACATTTCTATTTTTCTAAGGTCACACAGCTAACCATGAGCCTGCAAACCCATACCTGAGTGTCTTGTGGTGCTTTCTAAAAATGTGCTTGTTTTTCCTATCTTTCATATAATTGCTTGCTTCGAAAAAATGTTTTAAAACTTTATCTTGATGCTTGTCATAGGGAAGTCTAGTTATGGCCTGCATATTCACAGCTGATATTAAGAATAAAATGGTTGTGAATGTTCTAAAGGTTTGGGCTTTGCATGAGTAGCATTTGTCCTGTAGTGGGTAGGTGGGCTGTCACTTGGTGAGATGTGGCTCCTTCCTGAAACCAGAGCAGGTCTGAAGCTGCCCTAATAGCTCATAAATTGGCAAAATTGGCATAGTGTATCAAAACAGCCATCAGCTTGGCAAGGTATAGAGAACTCTGTGCTTGTGGCTGTATTGAGGTTTACCTTGTGCCACCTTTGCTTTTCCTTTGGCTACAACTGTGCTTGTGGTATATTGGTTTTATCAGGAGGAGACTGGAGGTGCCAAATATATACCAGAAAAGTACTTGTTACCTTAATCTGTCCTCATGCCATCCCTACATGGTGTTATATGGAGCTGGAAGTCTCCTATTCTGGCAATTGCTTAAATACATTGATAACGTTTGCTTCCAGCAGGGCATTACATTTTCCTGGACATTCCATTGTCTTCCTTTCAGCCTTGTCTGGGTCAGTCTGAGGGCTTTGTGAACTTTCAGAGGCCCCTGGTAGTGGTAAGAGGGAGGTGCTGATGACAGAGCTGTAGCATGGACAGGCCTGGGATCCCTGGTGCCATAGCACAGTGAAGGGTAGATCTTGTCCAACTGTAGCAATCCTGGCCTTTCAGGGAGCATCTCACTTATGCTGTATGTGCTGCCATCCCCTCTAAATGTCAGGGCTGATGCTTGTAAGGCTGACACCAAGGCAACGTGGCTGTATGTTTGCAGCTTTCAACTGCTGGAAGCAAGTATTGGAAACCTCCTTTTATGCCTAAGAGTGTTTCCTTTCCTGGATGTGCTAGCTAAGAAGCTTGTCCTCCATATGGATTGCCTGGTGTTGTTGCTCTGTGCCTGTTTCTAACCATATACATTCATTAATTCTATATTTTTTTCAAAACCTCTCAAAATATAGGTAAAGCAAGCATTCCACTGTATCTGTAAAGATGCTGACCTAGCATCAAATGGAAGAGTATGATGAAGTGATAAGTGTTTCAAGCCTTTTTTTTTTTTTTTTTTTTTTTTTTTTAATGCTTCTCAAACTTAAGTGATTGAAAAGCTTTCCAGATCTGATAACTGCAAAGATTTCAAGTGAAACTTTTGGCTCCTATCCCCGCATGAGATCATACAAAGTGATATTAGCTGAATTTGTACCAGAGTTTGAAAAGAAAATGAAAACATGTTACTGTTAGTCTCTCTCAGCTATTTTTCAGTTCTGCTAGGCAAATGCTTTCTAATTGGTTAACTTCTGTGTACCATTTTAAAGGTTTCCAAATACATATGTGTGTATATATACATTTTCTTCACTACTAATGTATTTAATTTATATTCTTTTGATCTTTTATCCTTGCTAACAGGACTCCCTGGATTTTTTTTGTTGGTTTTTTTTGTTTTGAATAGAGGTTTTAAAAGCTAATGTTGCTGAGGAAAAACTTACTACAAGAAAAAGGATGTACTGAAGCCCTCTTTCAATTCCAGAATTACCTTGAAACAAAATAGAGCTGGTGTATCTCTTCTTTAACCTTTCTTTTTGTCTGACTGCTGTGATAGATGTCAGTGAAAACTATGGTCTTGTATATGTGTGTGTAACTAATACAGATAAAAGGGTTTCAACTGCATGTGTTTTATGGGTTTCCTGTATATAAGTAAAATAAGATAAATAATGCCTTAAGTTAGGCCTTTAGATTACTGAATGGGTTTGAACATCAAGGTTGCAAATTCTACAATTAAAGCTATTCATTCGTCCTCTTGGTAAATATTAATTTTGATTGCCTTTAGAGGATTGCTTCACTTTTTTCTTTTTTTTTTTTTTTTTCTACAAGGCCTACATATTGTCTAGTGCACAGCATGGCTAATGCTTAATGAGTGGGTAGGTTGTTGATGTTTTGTTTCTCACCACTTCTTGTATGGCCTTATTTACTGTGTGGTTTGCAGGTGATTCACTGAATAGAGAACTATTTGTTTCCTCATGGAGTTTTTCATGGCATTAACACTATAAAGAGTTACTTTACTGCATGTTTTTCAGGGAACCTTAATCAGGAGTGTAAAGTAAGATATTGTGTATATTTAACCAGACTCTGGGCCTTGATTCTTAATTTTCTGGGGGGCATGGTTTACAGCACACAGTCGTCTTTGATGGAAGTCTTTAGTGGAGGAACTAGCAGGTTGTATGGACTGTCCTCCACTCTTCTTTTTGTAGCAGCAGACAACAGTGGTTCAAAGCTCATGCTAGGGCACAAGTTATCTTCAAAAATGAAGGAATTTGGTAGAGATGTAAACAGCTATAGCTTCCCTCCACCACACCAGTGTTTGCATCTTCCTGTCATTGATTGTACCTAGGAACATAGATTTCCCATATAGGAAGTTCTCTTCTGTAATTGAAGGCAACCATGCAGTAGATATTTTGTCCCAAGCTTAGAGTACTCACTCAGCAACCTGCTCTCCAGCATTCAGACCATATTTAGGACCCGATGGAAATGAGTAAAGCTTCAAAATGTACAATAAGCTACAGGAAGAGAACACACTTCATCTGGTTTCTGTCTTTGAGACTGTAAGATCTTCAGGCTGGAGGCTGTGCCTTCCCATATGTCAATAAAACATTTCAAGCACTATATTAGTATAAACACCAGTGGATGAGGTCATCATAT